GACCCAATATCAAAATTCAGACAACTTACATTTAACTATTGCGACAAAGTATATAACACTCAACTAGAGAAGGTTTGTACTAGCAGACATGCTAACTTGTGACATGAGTCCCGCAGCAGCCACGCACTTGTAATCATCGAGTATGGAATATGCTCACGGCTTCCATTACAACCAGAACGCCACAGGATCCCGCAATTCATGGATCTCTGACGGTGTAGGCAGCTGGTAGCACCGAACCCGGCGTGGTGTGACTGGTGTCTCACTCCGCAGATCTCCTTTCTTGTCATACATGAGAGAGAACGCCGTCAATCGAAGCCCATAGCGAGGAGACGACGGTGGCATGACCTCCTCCGCCTCCGGCTCGTCACCAACAGAGCTGCCGGCGGCATCGTCTTCAGCAACGGAGAAGTACTGCACAAGGCAGAAGCGTGCGACTCCCACGTAGACAAGGCTGGCTCCGACGTGTTGCTCGCCCGGGTCCTCGCAGAAGAGCTTCTCCTTGCTGAGCTTCCACGCCGGCGGCGACTCCGTGTTGCTGCTGGGATCGACGGACACGACGTCGCAGGAGCACAGGTAGCCGAGCGTGTCCGGGGAGTCGCCGGAGAGCCCGACCCAGGCGTCCAGCCTCGGGTCGAAGTGCGCACGGCCAGCGAAGGGTAGCTTCCACTCGCCATGGCGCCTCCACGCAGCACCCCTAGACGCTGTGTCGAGGGAGTAAGTGGCGGCCTTGGAGCTGACGAAGACGGTCCGGCCGTCGGGGTGCGCGCAGTGGGCGGTGATGTCCTCCAGATCGAACGGAGGGTTCGGAGCCTATCATGGGACCACCATCCCCACAGACACGGGCGGAGCAGCTCCGAGGAGTCGTCGTCCAGGGCGGCGAGCTTCCCGCCGACGGGTAGATACATGGGCCAGGTGGGTCGCGGGCCGTCGCGAGGGACGAGGGCGACGCACCGCGTGCGGACGTCGAAGACGGGGACGATGCGCTCGCACTGGATGGTATCCATGACCATGATCTTGTTGCCTTTAGCCGCGAAGAACCTGCTCGCCAAAGCCTCAAGGCGGACGAGAGCCCTCGGTAGGCGCTGCGCCGTCGCGTGGCCGTCTTCATCCGGGGAGGAAGGAGTGTCCGACGGTAGATCGAACTTGCGGAGGCCGTATATCGCCTCCCCGTCGTTCGTGACGAGGTATAGGCGCCGGCGGCGACGCTTCCCGCCGACGCGCCCGTCCGAGGGTCGCTTTGGCATCCTCCCCTGTTGTTTCAACTTCTGTAGTGCCGCTTCGATCGAACTCGAAGACGGCGAGTCCGGCCGATGTCCGATGTCGGATGCGAAGGCGGCGGAGATGGAGTAGCGAATAGCGATGCCGCACGTCGACGTGGCTCTTTCTTCCGCTAGGGCTATTTTTTCTCCCCTATGTATTGCGCGAGAGATCCTTTGGTTCTCGCCCCGGCGCTCCACGAACGGGTCGGCCCAATACTGTTGATACGGCAGCGGTTTTAGAAAAGTTCCTGGACCGGTTTTAGAACATTTTGTGTTGTTTTTTTCTTCCTTTTCTATATGTTTTTTTATTGATTTTTCATCAGATTTTTGATTTTTTCTGTCAATACATGCCTACCTTTTCAACACCCTTTGTACTTTTCTTGTGTACACTGAAACATTTGTTATACATATTGATTTTTTTTGCATGATTAACATTTATTATGAAATAAAAGTTAAAATTTAAATGTTTTCTGTCAATACATGTTAATTTTTTTTAAATTATACAGAAAATTATTTTAAACTATGCAAACATTTTTTTTGCATTGTACTCCCTCAATCCCGAATTAATTGTCTTAGATTTGTCCAGATATATCTAGACACGTTTTTTTTTAAATCAAAGAAGACTTTATTCAAGATCAGGTGCATTTTACAGAAAGGATCTAGACACGTTTTAGTGTTAGGTACATCCATATCTAGAGAAATCTAAGACAACTAATTTATGATGGAGGTTATATAACAATTTTTGAATATTTTTTCTGAAATGTATGAGCATTTTTTAATGTAAGTACATTTTTTGAGTTACATAAATATATTTAAACATAGTACAATTTCTTTTTAAAATGTCACGTCGATATATTTTCAAAATGCCTTACCATTTTTAGAAGGTCACAACGTTTTATTGAATGCTATTAATTTTTTTTAAAGGTGACAAACATAAGTGCTTTTAAAGAGGTAGATGCCGCATGATATAAAGCGGTTCAGTTTCCATTTTGGTGTAAGGCTGTCGCTTCGGCTCCGCACACCACATGTACTGTAGATAGGATAGGGGGAAGTGGCAGTTTAAGGCATTGTACAATACAAGGTGTTTAGGCGAGATGCTTAGAGAAATAAACCAGTCTTTCCTTGAGCATCGGTGCTTATTTGTACAGGATAGACACTTAATTATGTGTCTCTCTTGTAAAAATAGACACTGGTGCTTCAGAAAAATCCAATTTATTTTTCTAAGCACCTACATTGTACAAGGCCTAACCGGAAAACATCCAAAGAGATAAGCGCCGCACCGAAACGGTTTTAATGTTGGTTGTGGTCAGTCGCAGTCAAGGACATTGGTTTGACCACGAGCCCTTTCAGTTAGTACACTTGTGAAGACTTAGAACAGATTGGATGTGAAAAAGAATAGAGAGGTAAGGGTGATAAAAACCAAATTAAAGAGATAGCAATGAGTGAATGCAATAAAGGACAAACATCATATCAATCTAAGGCAGTTGAAACAAACGAGTAAAAACCAATTTGAGGTGGCATTACCCAAAAAACAGGTGGCCAAAAAATTAAAAGCCACATGAAACATGATGATTCGACCGGGGGGGGGGGTGGCTAGGCGACGAATCCGACAGCAAGGAGGAGCTTGATAGGGACATCGATGGTGACGATGTAATCTAGTGGTGGGGAAGTTCGAAGACAGTGGTAGGAGCTCAGGAACGGTGGTGAGCTGCTCAGGGACGACGACGGGAGCTC